TCAGGTGTATATCAGTATGTAGTGTCTCTACTTTAAAGAGTCCTCTCCTGACTGATGTTCAGGTGTATATCAGTATGTAGTGTCTCTACTTTAAAGAGTCCTCTCCTGCTGATGTTCAGGTGTATATCAGTATGTAGTGTCTCTACTTTAAAGAGTCCTCTCCTGCTGATGTTCAGGTGTATATCAGTATGTAGTGTCTCTACTGGGACATGTTTCCATGCTTTAATGTTCAAAAAGCTCTTTACTGTTCACATACTGCCTGTGCTGCAGCACCTCTTTTCACCCTCTGTCTGAAAGCAGAGCCCAGTCTGCTCTGATTGGTTAGCTGGCCGGCTCTGTTGTGATTGGCAGGGATTTTAGCCTTTGCAGACCATTTACATGCAAAAAAACACTATTTAACACACTACAGGAAAGGGAAACCCCAAATAGGGCCCCTTTAAGAGTTTTAAGCATATTTCGAGGACGATCCGGCTAATATCGTACATCCAGATATTTTAGCTGGGACAATCAGGACACCAAATCGTCCCAAGACTCGTAGTAGAGGTATTTTATACAAAGAGACTGTAACCAAGGTTCAGAGCTACCTGTACATCTGAAATAGTTGAATTTAGGTCAGGACATTTTACCGGCACAAATCCAAAACCCAGAAACAAAGGTGACCTCATCCCTACTACCAAGGCAACCAAAAGACACAAATCATAACGAAACATGCTCTCCTGGTGTTGGATTCCCCTCTGAAACTGTCTCTTTGTTTGGCAGTGAAGCAGAGAAATGACTTCTAACGACCCCCAGCTGTGATGAGGCGCTCCACATTGAGAGTGTTTCTGAGTGTTTCTACAGAAGATGATGGATGATCTGAACCCGAGTGCATTTTATTTATGACTTCCATTGCTTATACAGCTCCTCTGTGACCCCCTGCTGCCCTCCTGATGTGTTTGAGTGCAGCTCTACAGTATATCACTCACACTAACTGAGCCGGGGGAGGTGAATGACAGGTGTATGTTTATAAATGTGTGTGTTATCGTGTGTGTGTGTGTGTGTGTGTGTGTGTGTGTGTGTGTGTGTGTGTGTGTGTGTGTGTGTGTGTGTGTGTGTGTGTGTGCACTCACAGGGCGTCGGGGCAGAACTCGGGCTGCAGCAGCCTCCTCCCCTGCAGGAGGAAGATGGTGATGTCGAAGGAGTTCACGTCCGAGTACGGAGGAGCTCCTCGGGTCATCAGTTCCCATAGCAACACGCCAAACGACCACTGTAATAAAGACAAGGACATTAACTTTCAATATTGTCCGTAAATCACACTTTTGTTCTTGTAAGTTCACAGGTATTGAGTGAGATTGATAACACTATAAACACAACATGTGTCTGTCTTTAAAAAGGTCTTAAGACAGCCGTTGAATACTTGATTCTGATTGGTCAATTTGGACATTCAGCGGTCTGCCATTGGTCGCTCTGATTATGATATTTATATATATTCATAATTGTCCTTAAATCACACTTTTGTTTTTGTAAGTTCACAGGTATTGAGTGAGATTGATAACACTACAAAAAGTTTGATCTGTGTTTGCTTTTTAAAAAGAGCTCAAGACAGAAGTTGTTATCAAAATGTATTACACAGCTGAGTTGAATACTTGATTCTGATTGGTCAATTTGGACATCCAGCAGTCTGTTATTTCTCAATAGCAAAGATAGAGTAATAGAGTGCTGCTAAAGACGCTCTGATTAGGAGACTGTGTGCAGTCATATCAATCCGCAGAAAGTAGTCCGGTCATTTTAACATCCTGCATCCGAAAAACCATGGAATATATTTTGGAATAGTCACTTTTATATATTTGTGGAGAGCACAACACTTTGGATTCATGATCTCTAAACTGATTAAACCACATATGCACCATTAAAAGTACATTAATACAAACCCATAAACACACAGAAGACACAAAAGCACACACATAAGCACATATCAAAGCTAATAGGCACAGACTCTTAACATACTTTCACTTTCTCCAACTCTAGAAGACACATATTGTAGTTGTTGGATGCATTGAATTGAACATGATATTTGTTGTATTGTCGTGATGTAAACTCGTCCTCACCACGTCAGACTTGGGCGTGAACTTGTGTGTCTGCAGACTCTCCAGAGCCATCCACTTGACGGGCAGCTTCACTCCGCTCTTGTTGTGAACGCTGTAATATTCTTTATCGTAAACGTCTCGAGCCAGCCCGAAGTCTGCCACCTTCACCGTGTAGCTCTCATCCAGCCTGTCAGGGGGAAATAAATCAATACATTTACTTTAGTGGCTTTTTAAGAACTGATTTCTCTTTATTTGACTGTGGGTTATTGTTGAATACGGTCTATAAAGTACCGTAATTTTCGGACTATAAGCCGCGCCTTTTTTTCAATTTTTCGACGCTGCGGCTTATATAACGGTGTGGCTAATCTATGGATTTTTACAGCTAACGGCCACTAGGGGAGCGGCTAATCTATGGATTTGTACAGCTAACGGCCACTAGGGGACCTCCTGAATCTATGGATTTTACAGGTTACAGTCCACCACCTTTAACTCTATGGGCTCTATGGCCGGTCCGCGCCCCCCACCTTTAAGCGGCGGGCTCCAGCAGGAAAAGCTGGAGGCCGGAAAAGAGTGAGACAGGTAGCGCGCAAAAGTAAAAGTGGAACCGAGAGTGGTACGAGAGACAGAACGAGAGCAAGACAGACAGACATTACGAGAGCGAGACAGTTTGTCCCCGTACCACTGGTTGAAAACCACTGCTGTAGATCACTGCCGGTACGTGCGCTGGGAGTTTGAAAGTTGAAAAGTTTGTGTGTCTGAAACGCTATGTGATACAGTACAGTTTACACAGCACATGTTCTGTAGCTACTATTGCACTAAATGCTAACACTTGAATACGTTATGCAAATATGCAACTTGTTTGTTGAAATGTTAATA